ACTTGATGGATTGGGACCGATATCTATCACAGGTAATAAGGCTAATTATACCCCACAACTTTCTCAGCACAGCAATAGTCCACACGGGATGCTGACAGGGCGGGAAACGTCTTATCCATTAAAAGTTTTGTATAAAGTGTATGAAGGCAAAAAAACATCGCCACAGGTGGGTTTGAGAGACCTGATAAGATGTGAGCAGGAGCTCAACAAAATGTACAGGCAAAATCTCCAATATCCAGCAAGCGCAAGCAAACAAGAGGAAGAAGTTCGACAAAAGGACGGCTGGAGCCATTACATACTCGGTAGGAGACACCAGTATGGACAATTTTATAGGCTCTACACAGGCTTAGCCGCGCACTTTAAAAACATCAAAAGTCATAAGCATCATCAGTGGATTAGTGCAATCCAGAACACATGCAAAATGGTGATTATTTATTAATTGACACTGCCTGTGAAGTCAATGAAAAAAGCAAAGACAGGACTGAAATTCCTGAAGAGGTGACCATTTGGCATTTTAACTTTGACACCATTGCGGTGATCCAGTGAGGAACGTTGTCATACAGTGATTTCCCGAGTTAGACCTACTAAAATCTTCAAGGCAATCACGTTTCCAAAAAACTATCTGGATTTCAATCCACACAAATCATTGACAAACTCTTGTTAAATTTCGACTTAGTGTCGCGAATATCCGGGTTTAGACCTGTTTTGTTTTAGTCTGGTTTGTTATAAAAAGCAAGTTACCAGTGCAGTCGCTGGTTCCTAGCCTGACTTTTAATAACCTAATACCTTTCACTGTTTACTTTTCTTTTGTTTACTTAAGTTTTGACAAAAATAGTACCCTTCCGGATTGGCAAAATTAGGACCCCTCCGGATTGGCAAAATCGGGAACGCTCCGGGTTGACAAAAATAAGACCCCTCCGGATTGGCAAAAACAGGAACCTTCCGGATTGTTAAAATTAGGACCCCTCCGGATTGGCAAAACTAGGACCATCCGGATGGGCAAAAGCAGGACGCTTCCGGATTGGCAAAAATAGGACCCTTCCGGATTGGCAAAAACAGGACCCCTCCTGATTGCCAAAATTAGGACCCTCCCGGATTGGCAAAAACAGGACCCCTCCGGATTGGCAAAAACAGGACCCCTCCGGATTGGCAAAATCGGGACCCCTCCGGATTGACAAAATTTGGACCCTTCCGGATTGGGACTCCTCTGGGTTTGTAAAAAACGCTTTTCCGGGATTTTTAAAATTTTCACCCGATACCCTTCCTGATACGTTTTCCGATGCTATTTTGCTGTAGGAACTAACTAGGAAGGGTGTATTTTCTGTCCCTAGACTCTTCCGGATTGAAGCTAAGCTGCTTATTTGACAATTCTCCCAAACTGTGAAGGGTCTTATAACTAGCCCAGTTTCGACTCGATTTTGGTTTTCTGGGTTCCTTAGCCCTACTTTTTTGTTCAAAACAGCGTACAATTGCCTTATTCAACCGTTACTACCCTTTGGTAGGGGTACAAGGGCTTTCCAAAAAACTTTTACAAAACGTGAAGGGTCTGCCTTCACTAATTGGTAATATTGCTAAAAACAATCTTAAAAAATTTTTACGCATTTTTTTTCAGATAATTGAAGGCTCTATAACTAAGCTCACCTATTTTCAGATCTAATAAAACCAAGATAAACTGGATTTGTCCAGTAGTTCCAAAGTGATTAACCAAAACGTCTTTTGTCTCAAGTCGAAAAAATTTCTCTCTTATAGGTTCCGCCAACTTTTTTCGCAATTCTTATTTTTTCGACCTAAAATTTATTGATCCGAACTTAAAAGGCCTATACTCTTCTAGCTCAATGCAAAAAGTCCAATCTGAAACGTTCCAGCTGAAAAAATTTGCCAAAAACAATGCTATTTAGACCCTTCCGGATTATTGAATCCACTAAACCAAACACGTTAAGTTCGATTTCTCTGTAACCCGGGAGGATATTGGCAAACGGATTTTAAAACCTGTCGATTCACTAGTGAACGTTGTTTGAACAACAATTTTTACTGTCCTAACTCAAAATTTCAAAAAAATTTCTTATTTTGTAGCGTTTCGTTTTTTCAAAATTCAAGAAATTTTGGTTTTTTGTATCCAATTAGTTCCAACAACATCTGAACTAAACTAAACTGGTTCTACCTATTAAACTAGTACAGTTACGATGTAACTCATAAATTTGGGCTTTTTTCAGTTTCAAAAAATATCGATATTGCAAAAATGGCGATTCGTGGGGGGTCAAAATTACGCTATTTTGACCCTATAAACCGGTCTGCTTAATATGTTTTTTTTTTACTGAAAAACGGTATAGGAGTATTATTAAGGCTGTATAAATGGTAATATTAGTAATTTTATACCCTTCCCGGTTTGTTGACAAGCCGAATTAAGGTGCTTAACTCGGAAATTCGCAATTCGTTGAAGTGTCACTACAGTGCAGTCACTGTTGAGCCCCCAACATATCAATATCCTACATTTTGTACCAAAAGGGATACAAAACTTGTTAACGATACCCAACAGTCTATTGTTGTGTTCCTTGAGCCCTTTCTTGTCGCTCCTTGCACTGCTTGCCGGATCAGTCTTCTTCTCTAATCCCGAGACCCTTCCGGATTGAGCGCAAATTAGCATTAAAATGTATAAATACTCAAAAAACCCTACAGTACAAGCACCACAAACGAGCCACAAATTTGATCTTAACGATCCTGACTGATAGAAAGGCCTGAAAAAACAATATATCTAACAACAACAAACGGGAGGGTCGGATCACATCTCGTCTGTGGGATGATTTCTACTGATTTTATACTTTTTTACTGTTTTTGGTTTTTCGGTTATTTTTTTGTTTTTTGTTTTTTCTTAGGTACTATACTACTTTTTGTTTAGTTTCCTGTATATCTTTAAATTTTTTTGGTCACAAACCTCTCAGGGAACGAGGGGACGGCCAATCCCCCCACCCTTCCTGGTACGTGAATTTTTGATCTTAACTAGGTTAAAAAGCTAAAGCTATTCACGGGAATCCGGAAGGCTTCCGCGTTCCGAACTACCCTTCCCCTCGGTGGTTGGGGCTTTGTTTTGAGCATCCGCTCGGCGCGGAGTGCTCGTTAACGGCTTTGCCGGTCATGATGCCAAAAAGAATAACACCCAGAGCGCCATAATAACATCTATGTAACATTCGCCCGATATTACATATCGACGGAAAATAAAGCTAAGTTCTAAAATGAATGGCCAGCGTCTAAACTAAGCTCTACATGCTTTTCACCGTCTCTACCAAAGCCAGTTCTTTTAGTGGTCTTTCTACCATCGGGTCGACAAAAACGTTACTGCTTTCGGCTTCGGTCAAAACACTCAAATTAACTTGTTTACATGCAAAATTAGTGAGCTCATGGCTGGGTCTCAGTATCCCCAGACCACGAGGTCACTCCTCAAAACAAGGCTACTACTTATTTATTATGTTACTAGGATTTTTGTTCAGTAGATAAAAATCATCATCTCCATCGAAGATGGATTAACCCTTTCCCTCAACTCCTAGCTCCGAATAATCTGAAAACGAAGTTGGTTGTTATTAATTCAAATCAGGACATCTCCAGGAAGCCTAAAGGTTGTTAAAATAATGTTTAAGTTATCTCCCGAGACCCTTCTGGATTCTGAAATCCGGATAAATAACTTCTTTATTCTTTCCGGAAGGCTGGACACGTCGTCCCAGCACCCTTCCTGGTTCTCGTGAATTGCTTTGTAACCATTGTAACTGCACAATCGTTACAACTCGGAATGGTTTCTGACAATCCTATTCTTTCTTCAATCTCGATCAGTTTTACACGATTTCCGTTGTTGTTGTTTTCACTGAGAATTCTTTCGTTCTGTTTTAGCAGTTTCGGTTGGTGCGAAATATAAAAAGGTTACGTCTCGTTCACGTCCCAATCGAAATTTTAAAAAGTAACAGGTCAGTCAAAACTAACCCCTCCCGATTCGTCTTATCGTTCAATTAGCGTCACTAATCCATAAAAACCATCAATTCTCTCGGTCAGATGTTCCGATAAAAATTCGAATACGAAATTGCATTTTGTCCGTTCTGGTCGAACGTCACAAGTCTTATCGTCACTCGGGAACGGTAGTAAAATTCTCCCGATAACCTTCCGAAATCTCGGTTTCGCTCCAGAACGATTGTAGTGGCACAATCGTTACAATTCGGAATGTTCTTCTAACAATAATATCGATCGTAATTCCAATTCGAATCGTAGGTCTGTTTTCTACTAGCGAAAATTGTTGTTCTGTTGATTTTCGTGCTGTTTTCGTATTCGCGAAAAAAACTGATCACGTGTCTTTACAATCGAATTTATGAAATTTCACATATCAGTTAAAACCGACCTCTCCTACTTCGATCAGTTTATCAAATAAGACCGTTAATCTGCCAATTCTCCCACTAAACTGTTCCAACAAAATTTCGATTTCGTCATGCATTTTGACCGCCATTCTGGTCGAATGTCACAGTCGTTATGTACTTCCCTGGCAAATGTTACATCGTTAAAGCCTAAAAACAACTACCAAAGTACGCCAGTTCTAGAAAAAATTAGAAACGCCCTTAGGTGCCGGATCGTTGTTGAATTACGAGCTCTCCAGATACCCTAAACAAAGGAACGCCGTTTAAACAGGATTGCGAATGTATTATTTGTAATGATTTCTTATAGACAAGTGTGCTCTTTGATCCTATTCAATGGATCCACTCAAAACGCACCTCATTCTTTCGTAACTGGACAAAATGAGCTCAATTAAAAATAATCAGGCGCTCAAGACAGCCACATCTAGAAATAACTTCAGCAATATAATTAATCCAGATTTTATACGTCAGTAACTCAAGAAATAATAAAAGTTTTCATCAAAAATCAAGTTTTGTAGCTTTAATTCAAATCGTTCACTATTGCTGCACAATGGTCACTTGTTTTTCCATAACTTCTAAGAAGCTTGCCTGAAGTGTTAGTAACACTATACTAATTGTTGTGATAAACTTATTAAATAGTTTCATGTGATATGATACGCTCATAATGGTACGCTTGTAAGAAGAAGGCCCGGTACGGGATTTTAGAGACAAGTTCGTCAAGCCGCGAACATCCCCGCCGGAACCTCCACCCGTGAAAAACCAGGTTGTAATCGCTTTCATTTTTTTAATGTGTTTTTTTAAATCTATTTCTCTACAATCCATTTAACAATCTAATCTTTCTCTTGTTTTGTCTCTTTTGTACCCTGTTTAGTGAATGTCCGTGCCGAAGTTGAGCAGAAAATTGGTAATAGGAACCTCAAGGACAAAGTACCGCAGCCCCAAAGATGTCGGAGCCACAGTTCAGTCGTACAGAGGTGCAAAACTAGCCGACCTTGCCGCTACTGTCTCGCGCTACCCCTCGCAGAAACTGAACTGTGTTACTATAGTAGCAGGCTCTAATGATAACTCATCTACGGTTTCAGACTTTGCTTATGATTGGAGATTTTTAATAAATTTGATAATTCATAAGTTTAACTCAAATGTGCTTACTATCCCCAATACCATCCTCTCTGCAACTAATCACTTCATAAACAGAAAACTTGGTGCTTTAAATAACTCTTTGTTTTGCCCTATTAATACATTTTACCATTCAAGAATTCGAATCATTTTTCCTAATCTAAACGTAAATTTCAGTGCTAATATGTTTTGTGAAGATGGTATTCATTTTTTTTATGGCAATAAAAATTTCAGTTTTTTGCTCGCTCAGCTAACTTGTATATAATCACCATAAAATTACCCTCCTCGCTGCCAAATGATGGCCGATCAAACGCACTGCCATATTTGCAAACGCCACCTCCGAAAAGGAGGCATATGGTGTGTCATTTGCAAAGCATACATCCATGTCTCATGTAGCGGGCTACAGAGCAGCAAATTTTATTACGATGGCTTTCCTGCATAAAATGCACTCCGGAGAAATTTGCAAAAGGGCCTAATTCCACAAATAGACCAACAAGCCAACAAGCACAGCCCCCATCACAACTCAAAAGGAAACATTACCGGCAACACCCGAAACAGACGTACTGCCCAACGCAACACAATCTGATTCACCGCCCCAGCAATCACTACAGCCCCCTTCGACCCCTGAAACCTTATCGACCAAGAACTTGAAATTAAAATAAATGAAATATACAAAAATGTCGTTAACTGGAAACCGCGCTTCATAGTTCTAAGCAAGAACAAGCCCGGGTTCCAATTCATAGAATTACTGAACCAGCAGCTGTTGTCATTGGTAGAAGAAACACCAAATTCTAACGTTTCAATGAAAACTGCAATGATTATCCCACATCTGCTGCTCCCCAAAACTAAATCAGAAACAAACGGATCAAACTCCAAAACACTGAGCCGCCGCTTAATTTTATGGAAGCAAGGCCTATTAGACGAACTTTTCACTGAAACGAAAGCTCTCCAAATTAGACATCCAAAACAGAAGAAGTCCGAAGTAAACGAGGAAGCTAAGCAATTTGATAAACTAATGAGTACAGGCAAATTATCTGCCGCCATTGCTGCCTTTCAGACAAGAAAACAAAAGGAGTACTTCCCTTAAACGAAATCCTTGAAGGAAAAACAGTCCTCAATATCCTGAAAGAAAGAAAAACACTCAGCCAAAACAGCGAACACTAACTATATAATTGAATTAAATGAAGACACAATGCCATACCACCCCTCTTTATTCGAACAAATAAACGCCAAGACGGTTCGAAAATCAACCCTGAAAACGCACGGAAGCCATGGTTCCTCATATCTAGATGCGTGCGAATGGAGAAGGATATTAACTCACTTCAACCAGACATCCATTGAGCTTTGCAAAACAATAGCTAAACTATCCTATACAATAGCAAGTAAAGTTGTCTCCCATGAAAACTTAACAGCTTACATTCGTGTCGCCTGATACGTCTGGACAAAAATCCAGGGGTACAGCCCATTGGTATAGGCGAGGTTATGAGAAGAATAATTGGCAAAATAATCACCCAATGTATAAAATCAGACCTTAGAAATCTCAAAAAAAAAAATTTCCAACTCTGCTTAGGCCAGAAGTGTGGAATCGAATATGCTAACCACAGCTTGAGGAAGGAGTTTGAGAAACCGGAAACGGAAGCCATATTACTTATGGATGCAGAAAACGCCTTCAACTCGCTCAATAGAGAACTTGCTCTGAAAAATGTAGAGGTCCTTTATCCGGCACTACATCATGCGCTGGCCAACTCATATAATTATCCCTCAAATTTATATGTCAATAACACGGTTTTGGCATCTACCGAAGGCACAACGCAAAGTGATCCCCTCGCAATGGCTATGTACGGAATTGGAATAATCCCACTGATTGAGCTCCTGCAAAAGCCAAATGTCACCCAAAATGGTACGCAGATGATCGAAGCGATGCAGGTGACCTTAAGAGTCTCCGCACAATACTGGACAACCTAGATGTGCACGGAAAGGCTTTCGGGTACAATGTGAAGCCCACCAAATGTCAACTCATAGTAAAGGAAAACTGTCGTGAAAGCGCCATAAAAGTGTTCGAAGGCACAAATTTTACTATGGTAGACAGTTTTAGAGTCCTTGGATCGGTCATAGGAACACCATCAGCATGCGATAAGTACATCGAAAGCAAAATTGAAAAGACAGCTACCCTAACTGAAAAGCTTTCCAAAATAGCTATAACATCACTACAAAATGCGTACTCCTGCTACACAAAAGGAGTTCAAAATAAATTAAGCTTTCTAACCAGAACAACTCCGGAAGCATTTAAGAAATTGGATGAAATTGAGAAAAACCTAAGACAGCAGCTAATTCCTAGTATTACCGATAAAGATCGCAACCTTTTTGCACTACCACTAAGAATGGGAGGATTAGGCCTCCTAAGTAACACGGACTTTTCCAAAAACTATGAGTGGTCACGAGCCATTTGTGATCTGTTAGAAAACAGTGATACAAAAATAGCTGAAACAGAACAAACTCTGATAAATAGAAACATCAAAACTGAGAAACAGAAATTCACACTCACAAAAAAGGCTAAAATTATGGAAAATTGCTCATCAGAGAGAAAACTAACAATAAATTTCGCGTCACAGAAAGGAGCATCGAATTGGCTAAGCGTGCTCCCCCTAAAAAAATACAATTTCCCTCTCAACAAATTAGAGTTTAAAGATGGATTACATCTGAGATATGGATGGGAACCACCAAAAATCCCACATACATGCCCGTGTGGACAACTGTTCACACTGACCCACTCCATACAATGTCCCAAAGTTGGATACACTCATCTAAGACATAATGAAATTCGCGATACCTTTGCGACACTTCTGGACGAAGTATGCCATGATAATGAAATAGAGCCGAAATTTCAATCGTTGGAAGGCGAAAGCTTTCACAACAAAACAACCACTACTGAAGATGGCGCTCGACCTGACATCAAGGCAAATGGACTCTGGGGAGGCCGATTCAGCCGAATCTTTTTCGATGTAAAAATTTTCAACCCCAATGCTAAATCCTGCCCCAAAACTATATCTGACGCCTACAAATATCATGAGAGTGTCAAAACATTAAAATACCAACAAAGAATTCTGGACGTGGAACACAGCAGCTCTGTTCCACTAATTTTTGCGTGTACCAGAGGAGCAGCACCAGACTCTACAAAAACCGTCCAGAAACTAGCAGAGAAACTAAGCGAAAAACGGAACGAATCATACTCGGACACAATTAACTATATAAGAACAAAAATAAGTTTTGCACTTCTAAGGAGTGCAATCCTCTGCTTTAGGGGGTGCAAAAAACTTAAAAATACATCCAACATAGACAATTCTATCTGTGCTGTAATCGAGGAGGGTAGATTTTAATTGACAATTCTCTTGATGCATTAAAATAGACTTGATTTATTCATAAAATTTTGTCGATGTATTTATATAGCGTTGGTATGGCCATATCCAACCTGTGCACGTACCGTCGCATGACGGAAGGGCCCATTTTAATTGACCCTCCCATTTTCTGGTATCAAGAAGAAAAAACTCTACTCAATCATTGTTTAGATTTACCAATTGCTATGGCAATTGCGCTCAACATCGAATTTTGGTTTTGTTTCCTGTAATGTTAAAATTGGCTGTTCCGAATGAATGAATGATCAGTATATCGATATAATTTAGAGCTTGGAATGATGTTGAAATTATAAATTTGACTCCTTCTCGTTGGCAGTTCATTTGTTGTTCCTAACCTAATTTTTGTCTTTCTTCTTGCTCTATGGCGGGACTGTGGATTTTATATAGTACCTTCTTGATATTGTCAAGGAGGTTGGCCTATTTTTGGTCAACATGTGAGTTGGTTGAAGTGTGATACATCTTGTATACAGAAAAAGCAGATGCACTCAAAATCTGAGACTGTTATGAGTAGCACACTTTAAAGGCATGGTCACTTGTTTTTCCATAACTTCTAAGAAGCATGCCTGAGGTGTTGGGAACACCAGACTATTTGTTGTGATAAACTTATTAAACAGATTCATTTGATATGATACGATCATGATGGTACGCTTGTAAGAAGAAGGCCCGGTACGGGATTTTAGAGACTAGCTCGTCAAGCCGCGATACACCCCCTCTACCCGGACATCCCCGCCGGAACCTCCACCCGTAAAAAACCAGGTTGTAATCGCTTTCATTTTTTTATGTGTTTTTAAATCTATTTCTCTACAATCCATTTAACAATCTGTTCTTTCTCTTGTTTTGTCTCTTTTGTACCCTGTTTAGTGAATGTCCGTGCCAAAGTACAGGCCGAAGTGGCTACCCAAGTGGAGCAGGAAATTGGTAATAGGAACCTCAAGGACAAAGTACTGCAGCCCCAAAGATGTCGGAGCCACAGTTCACTCGTACAGAGGTGCAAAACTAGCCGATCTTGCCGCTACTGTCTCGCGCTACCCCTCGCAGAAACTGAACTGTGTTACTATAGTAGCAGTCTTTAATGATAACTCATCTACGGTTTCAGACTTTGCTAATGATTGGAGATTTTTAAAAAATTTGATAATTCATAAGTTTAACCCAAATGGGCTTATTATCCCCAAAACCATCCTCTCTGCAAATAATCACTTCATAAACAGAAAACTTGGTGCTTTAAATACCTCTTTGTTTCGCGTTATTAAAACATTTTACCATTCAAGAATTCGAATCATTTCCCCTAATCTTAACGTAAATTTTAGTGCTAATATGTTTTGTAAAGATGGTTTTCATTTTCTTTTTATGGCAATAAAATTTTCAGTTTATTTCTCGCTCAGCTAACTTGTATATATTCACCATAAATTTACCCTCCTCGCTGCCAAATGATGGCCGATCAAACGCACTGCCATATTTGCAAACGCCACCTCCGAAAAGGAGGCATATGGTGTGTCATTTGCAAAGGATACATCTATGTCTCATGTAGCGGGCTACAGAGCAGCAAATTTTATTACGATGGGTTCTCCTGCATAAAATGCACTCCCGAGAACTTTGCAAAAAGGCCTAATTCCACAAACAGACCAACAAGCACAGCCCCCATCACAACTCAAAAAGAAACATCACCGGCAACATCTGAAACAAACGTACTGCCCAACGCAACACAATCTGAATCATCGCCCCCAACATTCACTACAGCCCCCTTCCGCCCCTGGAAACTTATCGACCAAGAGATTGAAATTAAAATAAATGAAATTTACAAAAATGTCGTTAACTGGAAACCGCGCTTCATAGTTCTAAGCCAGAACAAGCCCGGGTTCCAATTCGTACTGAACCAGCAGCTGTTGTCATTGGTAGAAGAAACACCAAGTTCTAACGTTTCAATGAAAACTGCAATGATTATCCCACATCTGCTGCTCCCCAAAACTAAATCAGAAACATACGGATCAAATTCCAAAACACTGAGCCGCCGCTTAATTTTATGGAAGCAAGGCCTATTAGACGAACTTTTCACTGAAACAAAAGCTCTCCAAATTAGACATCCAAAACAGAAGAAGTCCGAAGTAAACGAGGAAGCTAAGCAATTTGATAAACTAATGAGTACAGGCAAAATATCTGCCGCCATTGGCTGCCTTTCAGACAAGAAAACACAAAAAGTACTTCCCTTAAACGAAGTCATTGAAGGAAAAACAGTCCTCAATATCCTGAAAGAAAAACACCCCCCAGCCAAAACAGCGAACACTAACTATATAACTGAATTAAATGACGACACAATGCCATACCACCCCTCTATATTCGAACAAATAAACGCCAAAGAGTTTCGAAAATTAACCCTGAAAACGCACGGAAGCCACGGTCCCTCAGGTCTAGATGCGTGCGAATGGAGAAGGATATTAACTCACTTCAACCAGACATCCATTGAGCTTTGCAAAACAATAGCTAACCTATCCTATACAATAGCAACTAAAGTTGTCCCCACATGAAAACTTAACAGTTTACAACTCATGTCGCCTGATACCTCTGGACAAAAATCCAGGGGTATGGCCCATTAGTATAGACGAGGTTCTGAGAAGAATAATTGGCAAAACAATCACCCAATGTATAAAATCGGACCTTAAAATCTCGGAAAAAATTTCCAACTCTGCTTAAGCCAGAAGTGTGGAATCGAATATGCTATCCACAGCTTGAGGAAGGAGTTTGAGAAACCGGAAACGGAAGCCATACTACTTATTGATGCAGAAAACGCCTTCAACTCGCTCAATAGAGAACTTGCTCTGAAAAATGTGGAGATCCTTTGTCCGGCACTACATCATGCGCTGGCCAATTCATATAAACATCCCTCAAATTTATATGTCAATAACACGGTTTTGACATCTACCGAAGGCACAACGCAAGGTGATCCCCTCGCAATGGCTATGGACGGAATTGGAATAATCCCACTGATTGAGCTCCTGCAAAAGCCAAATTTCCACCAAAAATGGTACGCAGATGATGAAAGCGCTGCAGGTGATCTTAAGAGTCTCCGCGCAATACTGGACAACCTAGATGTGCACGGAAAGGCTTTCGGGTACAATGTGAAGCCCTCCAAATGTCAACTCATAGTAAAGGAAAATTGTCGTGAAAGCGCCATAAAAGTATTCGAAGGCTCAAATATTACAATGGTAGACGGTTTTAGAGTCCTTGGATCGGTCATAGGAACACCATCAGCATGCGATAAGTACATCGAAAGCAAAATTGAAAAGACAGCTACCCTAACTGAAAAGCTTTCCAAAATAGCTATAACATCACCACAAAATGCGTACTCCTGCTACACAAAAGGAGTTCAAAATAAATTAAGCTTTCTAACCAGAACAACTCCGGAAGCATTTAAAAAAATGGATGAAGTTGAGAGAAACGTAAGACAGCAGCTACTTCCTAGTATTACTGGTAAAAACCATATAACCGATGAGGATCGCAACCTTTTTGCACTACCACTAAGAATGGGAGAATTAGGCCTCCTCAGTAACACGGACTTTTCCAAAAACTATCAGTGGTCACGAGCCATTTGTGATCAGTTAGAAAACAGTGATTCAGAAATAGCTGAAACAGAACAAACTCTGACAAATAGAAACATCAAAACTGAGAAACATAACATCACACTCTCAAAAAAGGCTAAAATTATGGGGAATTGCTCATCAGAGAAAAAACTGACAATAAATTTAGCGCCACAGAATAAGCATCGAATTGGCTAAGCGTGCTCCCCCTAAAAAATACAATTTCTCCTTCAACAAATTAGAGTTTAAAGATGGATTACAACTGAGATATGGATGGTAACCACCAAACACCCCACATACATGCCCGTGTGGACAACTGTTCACACTGACCCACTCCATACAATGTCACAAAGTTGGAGACACTCATCTAAGACATAATGAAATTCGCGATACCTTTGCGACACTTCTGGACGAAGTATTCCATGATAATGTAATAGAGCCGAAACTTCAATCGTTGGAAGGCGAAAGCTTTCACAACAAAACAACCACTACTGAAGATGACGCTCGACTTGACATCAAGGCAAATGGAATCTGGGGAGGCCGATTCAGCCGAACCTTTTTCGATGTAAAAATTTTCAACCCCAATGCTAAATCCTGCCCCAAAACTATATCTGACGCCTACAAATATCATGAGAGTGTCAAAACATTAAAATACCAACAAAGAATTCTGGACGTGGAACACAGCAGCTCTGTTCCACTAATTTTTGCGTGTACCAGAGGAGCAGCACCAGACTCTACAAAAACCGTCCAGAACTTAGCAGAGAAACTAAGCGAAAAACCGAACGAATCATACTCGGACACAATTAACTATATAAGAACAAAAATAAGTTTTGCACTTCTAAGGAGTGCAATCCTCTGCTTTAGGGGGTGCAAAAAACTTAAAACTACATCCAACATAGACAATTCTATCTGTGCTGTAATCGAGGAGGGTAGATTTTAATTGACAATTCTCTTGATGCATTAAAATAGACTTGATTTATTCATAAAATTTTGTCGATGTATTTATATAGCGTTGGTATGGCCCTATCCAACCTGTGCACGTACCGTCGCATGACGGAAGGGCCCAATTTAATTGCCCCCCCCCCATTCTCTGGTATCAAGAAGAAAAAACTCTACTCAATCATTGTTTAGATTTACCAATTGCTATGGCAATTGCGCTCAACATCGAATTTTGGTTTTGTTTCCTGTAATGTTAAAATTGGCTGTTCCGAATGAATGAATGATCAGTATATCGATATAATTTAGAGTTTGGAATGATGTTGAATTTATAAATTTGACTCCTCGTTGGCAGTTCATTTGTTGTTCATAACTTAATTTTTGTCTTTCTTCTTGCTCTATGGCGGGACTGTGGATTTTATAGAGTACCTTCTTGATATTGTCAAGGAGGTTGGCCTATTTTTTTGTCAACATGTGAGTTGGTTGAAGTGTCTGAGCCTGTTATGAGTAGCACCCTTTAAAGGCATGTTTTTTGTGGCATCCGGTGCTTTAGAAACCGGCGATTTGCGATCTTGTTTTTATTTTAACTCAAGCGACATTGAGACAGTCTTTGTCAAATATTTGGTTGCTGAGCGGTTGTTTCCTTCTTTCTTGGTTAAATAAGTTTCGGTCTAAATTATTTCGGCTTATTGGCTTCATATGTTTCTTCTAACCACAAGGTTTCTCATTTTCAATGTTCAGGACAAAAAAAAACAAATTCTTCCTTCGAAGAGGGAACCTAGAAAAACTTTGTTTCATGGAATCGCAAGATCCTCCTGCGTCCCAAAACCTTTTAAACTGAAATGAAAATTGAGAACTGATACAAGAAATTATAAAAATGATTTTATTTTAAGTCATATCCTCATAGTGCAGATAAATGAAGTTGTTAGGATACTATAGCGATTCAATATGATGCCATTCATAGCACGTGGTGAGATTTGATGCAGATGATATGTTTTTGGAAGCTAGTCCTATAAATTCTGTCGCATGGCTTTCTCCATTTTGATGACGCACCAGTTTGTTAGAAGTATATTGAGGACATTGAGTACGCTCTCCGGTAAATA